TGAGCGTCGCTGAGCCGCAGGACCTCGGCGCCGATGGCCGCCGTGCCGCCGTCGCGCACTCGCACGCCCGCGTTGACCTCCAGCGTCGGCGGGATGCGGTCCACCGCCTCGATGGACAAACGCACGGTGCCGGCTTGCGACCGCTCGCCGTTGCTCACCACGAAACTGACGCACAAAACAAAAGTCGGCGCTCGCCACAAACGCGCAACCCAATGCGCAAAAAGGCGCACTTACGGGGACAAATGCACAACACACACACACACACACACAAGTACTCCGACAGACGTCCACACAGACAAAAAGGCACACGCAGACGTCGCCAACGCAATCTGTATCCCCACCCTGCAGCCAATCAGCTGACAAAGTGCCGCAAGGCTCGCCGTCCCGCGCCAGCACGCACACACTCGCGCTCCGTGGCTTTGCAACATCTGTCTGAGGTGCGGGGCATGTTTGGCACGAGTGCGCCAAGGCGCCGTTCGGCCGGTGTGCCAACCTTGTTGTTGTCACGGCAACACATGCGCACGTTCTTTTTGGCGATGACGCGTTTGCGGTTTTGCCGCCAAACGGGCAGCCGGTTGGCAAGCCGTCTTTGGCATCAAGCGTGGCCAGCCGACAGTCTCCGGCTTTGCTTTCTCAAGTTTGAACTATCATGGAAGGTTTGTCACAATATGTCATTGTTGTTTTTAAACCCTAAAAGTGCTGCTTGATTAAAAAAAAAAAAAAAGGACTTTCATTTAAAACTTCCTTTCCATCAACAAAAAAAAAACAACAACAAACAACGTGTGCAATAACCTGCTTGTGTCAGGCCTCACAACCGTACGTGGGAAGAAACTCCAGTCAGCGAGCGCTGTTGTAAGCGTGCCTCTAAGGGGCGGGGCCTCGCGAGTGAGGTCGGGAGGCGTCCCTTCCCCGACTGACCTGAAGGCGTCGCTGCGATGCAGCTGCCCGTTGTCGTGCGTGTAGCAGACGCGCTGGGCGGCCACGTCCATCTGCGTGAAGGTGGCCAGCGGCACGCCGGGCCGCGCCGCCGCGTGCAGAAGGCCGTGGCGCGGCGCCGCCGTCACCGTGTAGACCAGCCGGTCCGGGCGCCCGCCGCCGTCTTGCGCCCGCAGGAAGTCCGTGTTCAGGAGCACGCGCTGGCCCGACGCCACGTGAACGGCGCCCGTCCACACGGAGACGTCGCCTGAGGAGGCACAGCGGCAGCAAATTGACGAGGGGGGGGAATTCCTTGGAGCAGGAAACGGGGAACCGCGAGGATGCAAACAAGGAAGCCACTTCAACCGGGAAGCAAATGACAACGCGGGCGAGGAAGCGCGCCAAGCGCAGCGGCAAACAGAAAGCGGGTGTCGCCATCATCGGCGCACGCTTGCGCTCGCACGCCGCTCGTCAAGAATTCCGCTCGCTGTCTTTGAAGTCCCCGGGCGGGCGCGGGTGCCAGAAGGGTCCAGGTGGCGCCGAGGTGCGGTCGGGGGTCTCGGGCGACGGCCGTGTTCGCCCGACTGGCAAAGCGTCCGCGTCGGCGCCGTCAATAATAGATGAGACAGCGCCGACGTGCCAACACGCCGCGTTTGGCACACTCGGCCGGCCTGCTGTCGGGGACGAGGGCCTCCGAGACCGGAGGGAAAAAAAACAAAAAGGGACGACGCTCGCGATGAGGAAAGACAAAATGAATGAATCAAAACGAGGAAGCAAAAGAAGCGTCGGGGTGACGGCAAACGGCCGGCCCCGCCCCTTCCTGTCATGCACTCGCCGCGCGTGACCCTGACCTTTGTGGGCGCCGCTGATGGTGATGCTAAAGGTGTGGGCGGAGCTTTGGTGTTCCAGGTCGCTGAGGCTGAAGCGGAAGCTGTCGTGACCTTGGAACCCGCCGTCGTCACCGCGCCGGCGAGGCTCGTAGCTTAGCCGGTTGGCGTCCACGTCGTCCTGAGTGAAGTTGCGACCCGCCGCCAGCTCCGTCGGGCCCGTCCGGCTCTGAAAATCAAGGCCGCCGCGACAATGCTCGTCACGTCACGGAAGCATCGACGCCTCCCTGACGGAACGCAAACCGGGAAGCGAGCGCGTCAGGGCGACCTCCAACTGCAGTCTTCCGAAGCGAGGCGCGGCGTGGAGCAGGTAGAAGAGTTTCTCGGGGGGCGTGTCGGCATCCTCGGCCTGGAGGACCACGGCGGAGAGCAGCCGACGCTCGCCGGGCTCCGCCTGCGCGCCGGCGTTCCTGAAACGGGAAGGTGTGGCTCACTCGGCTAGCCGCGGGGCAGCGGAAAATGAGCGGTCTCGCTCATGGAACACCCCCCACCCCAAAAATGGAAGACTCGAAAGTCCATTCGACGCGGGCCGCGAGGCCGGTTCACAAAGGCGAGAAGGGAAGGTGGACCGCAGAACTTTGGGCCATGTTCCAAGATACAAAGAAACAACACCAGCGCCAATCAAGAGAATGGAAATCGATTGATGAAGACGTCACGTCAAGTCACCGTTGGAAAAATGGCCACCGAGCCGCAGCCTTTTCAAGCTCCCAACGTGGGGATTGGTCGCGGCTGTCGACTGCGGAGCTGGAGCCACTCTGCGTTTTGACCTTGGCCCGCACCCCAAAACGTCCTCAACGATTCGCCTCGACACCTTTGTCAGAGAAAGCCGATGAACAAAGCGATCGATCTGGAATGGCTTTCTTGGCCGACAGAGGTGGCCTCATCGTCATCCTTGGGTTTCTCTGCGCCAGAAGCGGCGCCTTTTGCCAACAAGGCCTCGCAAAGAACCAAAGCCAAGCGAGCGAAGCAGGGAGCGAGCCCACCCACCCAAGAATTCCTTCTGTCTCGGAGAAAAGCAACGCGAGCAAAGTGAGGCCGCGGGCGACAGAAACGAGGAAGCGCGGCAGGCCGACGGCGCGAGCCCAGACGACCGGGGAGGAGGAAGAAGGCGGCGACGACGCGGAAGGAGCAGCCGGACTGACGGCGCGGCGCGGGTCGCCATTGTTTGCGTGACAGCAGGTCCCTCCCGCCCGGGGGCGCGCGCGCTGGTGTCGGGGGGCTACACGACAAAGCGTCTGCCTGCGTCTTCACTCGGAAGTAAAAGGCGGCGGCGAGGCCGGCCGCCGCCGCCTTTGTCCTGCAGGAGGAGGCGGCGGCGGGCATCTGCCAAGCGCTCGCGTTCCTTCGCGTTTCTTCCGCCTGCTCGCGCTGCCGCCACCGACGCTGGCGCCCCGCT